CCCGGCATCAGCCCCAGACCCCACGACCCACCAGGCTCCTGGGGTCACCTCTGCCCTGACTGGCCAATGGCTTTGCACTCCTCAGCCAGTTAGGGTCCAGCAAACTGCTGATTGGCCAGAAGTTAGCACACCCCCCTTCCCTACTGGTTGGCCGGGGCAGCGCTGCCAGCCGATTGGCTGTAGGCAGTTGCACCTACCGTAGAGGGACATGATGGACACGCACATGATTCAGGACATGATTGACAGGGAGCTTAGTTGTCCATCAGCAGGAGCCAGTAGATGCCCGCCTGCAAGAGGGACGCGTTGGCACAGCTGCCCCAGCGGCACTGCGACGGCACAGCCGCACTGCCAAGGCTGGCAGGACAACGCACAGCCTGGATACCACTGCTGCGGTCGGCATGGCAACACCCGATGTCAGGGTCGGCATGGCGACGCTCAGTCTGGATACCATCGCCAGCGTTGGCTTGGCAACACCAGGCCCTGACTGTCACTACCACCGGGGTGGTCATGGCAACAGTGCGGACATGGCTGATGGTGTCAGGGCATGGCAATGGCACCCCGTCACCAGTCACCACAGCCCCGCCGTCACCTACCTGCGTGGTGAGTGGGACGCCCAGCAGGAAGCCCGCCACAGCCACCCCCAGCGTCACGAAGGTCTTCCTGCGGATGATCCACTCGTTGCCCACCTCGTCCACGATGGCCGTGACCAGTGTCTCCAGCAGGCAGAACTGCACGTGGGGCGGAGGGGGCGCCGTGTCACCACCTTGGCCCCGCCATGCCCCCCGTGCTGCCCCCACCATCGCCTACCTGTGTGCCCAGCCCCAGGAGGATGAGCATGAAGAAGAAGAGGATGGACCAGAGGGGCGAGATGGGGAGCAGGGTGAGGGCTTCTGGGTAGGCGACGAAGGCCAGGCCGGGGCCGTGGTCAGCCACCTTGGAGACATCCACACCCAGGTGGTTGGCCATGAAGCCCAGGATGGAGAAGATGACGAAGCCGGCATAGACACTGGTGGCGCAGTTTGTGATGCTGATGATGATGCTGTCCCTGCGGGGGGGAGAGGGGTCAGGGCCAGCAGTGGGGCTGGTGGGCAGCAGGGGTACCCGGGGGGGGCCGCCAGGCACTCACCGATAGCAATTGTTGTGGAACTTGTTGTAGGAGGCCATGGTGATGAGCCCACCCCAGGCACAGCCCAGCGAGTAGAAGATCTGCGAAGCTGCATCACCCCACACCTGCAGCGGTTGGGCGGTCAGTGCTGTGCCCCCCAGCCCCGCTCCCCACCCTGGCCACCCACCACTCCTCGTGCCCTCTCACCTTGGCATCCAGGATCTTGTCCCACTGGGGTGTCAGGTAGTACATGATGCCGGTGAGGGCGCCCTCCAGCGTGATGCCGCGCACGAAGAGGATGGTGAGCACCACGTAGGGGAAGGTGGCCGTGAAGTACACCACCTGCGGGGCACA